CAATTCCTTATTATAGATGTAGTATATAAATAATGAGAATTAAAAACGAGACTACAGCTTACGGCCGGCTTACACAGCCGTCCATTCTCACGGTAATGATTCTCGAAACAAAAACTTATAAAAGTTACATATTCTGTTTTCAATTTATAGAGGAATGATGAAATCAATAAATATCTTCGCAAATATGTGCATCACGATGTTTGCCTTCACATAACAACATGGGATTAAATGTACTTTCATTCAATTAATCTTATAATATTTTTGTAACTCAACATACCTTATTGATTACAACACGTGGGTTTCAGTAGTAGCCACCATTATAAAAAATATGGTCATCTCTCTTATTATCTCTGAAAAAAGGGGAGAACAATAATATACTTTAATATAAAATTACCGGCATTGGAAATAAACAACTAGCTGTTGTACACGACTCCGTTAGCGCGGAGCTGAAAAAAAACTTTTTTAGTAGCCGTTATGGACATACCTTCTAATAAACATCAATTTAAAAATATTAGCAAAATTAATTTTTAAAAATAATGTACAATATTCACAACATAATAAAAAACGTTCGGAAAAATATATAAAATATTTTAATTCGAACTCTTTGTTGTGTTATATATTTTGTAAATAGCTAGGTCACGTGTTCGTTCTGTTTAACAAAAATGTAATTTACTTGAAATAAATTGTGTCATGGCGCACAATAACTAAAATATCTTACGTATTTTATTAAAACAAAAACAAGAATTTTACAAGGTGCCACCGTTCACCGAGTTTAAATTGAGTTAGTAATTAAAATTTTAAACAGAATATAAAACGCTATGAAGATTGGGCCAAGTAAGTACAATTTTTGTATACAGGTCTTTTGCCTTTAAATTGTTTAAATTTATACTTCTTTATGCTGCATTCTTGTGAATAATCCTTTATTACTGTTTTCCTACTGCTTAGCTTGGTATTGTAAGAAACTTGCGTAAGATTTGTTTGTGAACAAAAAATTCTCATATCTAACTCTGTTTCTCTGTTTCTAATTCTCTCATTCGATTATTTTAATTTTACTGTAATTAAAGAAAACAACAAAAATTAATTCGATAATGTCGTAAGATTGGCATAAGCACTGAAAAAGGGTCTTGCCAGACAGACGACAAAGTGAGCCTATAAGGGGTTTTCCTATGAGGTACGGAACCCTAAAAATACTTAATATAAAAAAACAATATTTGTACTTAATAAAAATTTATGGACTTACTTATAAGAGTATAACAAAGAAGACGTGATGATGACTTTTGTCTCTTGTGTCTCTTTAATAATAAACAACATCATTGTTGCAATTGAGACAAAATTAAATATTAAACATAGATACATTGTTATTTTATGACATTGGCAGGTTATAAAATAATTAAAAAAAATGTACCACCATGATTATGGGTCATAAATGCCGTATACAACAAGAATAAATATTAAAAACTTAATAAGTGAATTAAAAGGTGATACCACTTTTAAATTCATAAAAAAATATAAATAAAAAAAATAATGTGGATATTTGCTATAGTTATTAACAAATACACGCTTTTTTAACCTTATTGTAATCTTACACTATCTCTTTGGTATCATAAATGCTAAAATTTAGATGGATGGATGGATAAACTTATATAAAAACAGCTAAACACTTACGTATATTCGTCCGGTGTTATAATGTCTCACGAAAGTTTGAATAATTTAATGGATGTTTGAAAGTATGTCCGGTGCGGTTCAATGGATTTTGATAAAATTTGGGACACATGTAGAACATAGTCTATAAGAACACATAGGCTGCTATTAAGTTTTTTTAATTCCGGACGGACGAAGTCGCGGGCGACAGCTAGTAATTTATATTTATCGGCTTATCCATAAAATATATTATAAATAACATTGTAATAACTTAACTGAAAATTTTATCTTCGTTTTACTTAAATATTTCATACTTTGAAAAAATTTAATGTTTAGTTACATAATTTTACTTGTTTCAAGGTATTATTGTTCATTGTTGGATAAACTCAGATCAACCAATTATACAAAATTTAATTAATTCTCAAATTAATAATAAGACACATTAATTACATTTAAAACTTTGTGAAGTGAACTCTTGATTTTTGCATTTTAGAGTGATCCTTTGTCAAGGTTACCTCGGTTGTGCAGGAAAAAAATATGATTTTATATTTTTATTTGGAACTTAGTTCTGCGTATAATAATTTCGAATAGTCCATAACATGTTAAAAATTATTGGGAAAACGATCAAGATTATGCGCAACCGGTTTGGCAAACCCTTTAAAAATGGAGAAAAAGTATACCTACCTACAGACGATTTCTTTTGGGTTGATAGTACTGCATTATTCAAACATTATGGTTAGCTGTGAGCGTATGCCTAGCCGCAACTAGTCCGTCCCGTACTAATAGCAAAAATTGAAACTTTTGTCTACCAGTCTGTCCTTAAGTTTGTATTTGTTCAGGGATCGATAGTAACGGGTTCTTTTAATGGAAGGATCGCGCGAAAAAAGCTGGCATAGCATTGGAAGTCCATGGCGAGAGATAAACCGAGGTACAAATAGTTGCTTGCTTGAGAAGAAGCTGAGTGTAAAATAGGCTTATTTTTTATTTTTATTTATGTAATTCTACGTTGACAAATTAGCGGGCAACGGCTAGTAAAACATAACATTCTTAAACCGTATGTTATTGAGTGCTAAAAGTACTAAAAGTATAAGGTGTAAAAACCTGAATTGAGGTATTTATTGGCACATGTATAGAATGGGGGCGCTATCTGTAACGTTGTCAACAGTTGTGTCCTATACAAATCTAGATAACAGTGTAACACAAAAATATTATTTGTTATCGAGCTATTACGATGTCAGATCACCAGACTATAAAAACTCCACTAAAACTGCAGATGTAAAAAATCTTAATTGCGAAAAATCCAAATGGCGAATCTTAATAAATTAGTACGTGGACGTAAGAAAGATTGAAATTGTTATAAAAAATCGTGTATATAATCTTACTATTATAAATGCGAATGTTTAGGTGGATGGATGTTACTTTGAAGGTATCACCAGAGCGGTTGTATGGATCTCGCTGAAATTTGGCACATGTGTAGAACATAGTCTGGAAGAACAAACAGCCTACTAAGTTCGTTTTTAATACCGCGTAGACGGAGTTGCGGGCGACAGCTAAACGTAATGTAATTTTTTTTTTAATTTTATACATAGCGTTTGCCACCGCCATTTCTACTTTTTTATGCTTAACTCAGTAATCGATTATAAAATAATAAAAAGGAAATAAAAAATGAAAGATAAAAGAGTTACAATGTTTTTTTGTTATTTTTATTATGTTATTTGCATATTATTTTATCGATTAGATATCGATTCGTATACATCCATATTACATAAGTTTATATATAATAACTTTCATT